TATGTAACGTAGGTTCAGGCACATAAATTTATGTAACGTAGGTTCAGGCACATAAATTTATGTAACGTAGGTTCAGGCACATAAATTTATGTAACATTGTTTCTTAAACCTACTTAATGGACACAAACAAACAAAATATGTATTTTCTATGTTGTGTATACCTCCTATTGTGCAATATTAAAATAAATGGAAATATGAAGTGAAATAAAAATGAATGGTTTTGAATTTTGTACAAAATGATATATTATGTAGCTATCATTCATACATTCAAAGGTGGGATGTACATTTCCAAATAACTGACTAGAACAAATTCATAACAAATATGACATACTACAAATAACGTACAATTTAACAATGACCAAATTTTAAGCAATTGTGGATATGTTCGTTTTACATAAAAAATGGGATTTTTTTTCATATTTTGTTCAAAATGTGATGACCAAGCATGTCAGTCCAAAAATCCAAGTTTAAAGTGAAGACTGTTAACACCTTCCAATCAAGAAGTCATTTCTTTTTTGAGGTATGTATTTGCATTAAGTTAAGTTGGCTGAAAATTGTGTTTTAGAAGATGKGAGTTCATGTTATAAATTGCTATATCATAAATTATGGCAAGTATAATATAGAAGTAAATTATTCATGTGAAGTTTAATAAAGTTCTGCCCTTAATAAATTTTTAATGATTGACTAGCTATCACTGATCAGCTTACATATTTTAAAATCATTAACATAAATATTTCAAATATTGTTTTAATAACTGGGCAAATGTGTCAATGATGCAAAAATGAACTCTACACAAAATAAGCAACCCTTCTCTTCCCACAATTTCAAATTCCTCATTGGGGCATTTGATTAGGACTATGATGCATGATGCTTGTTTCTTAAACAATAGTTTATAATAATATATTACACTGGGYTTTTGAGCTTATGGCATATTTTATAGTTTAACATCCTCGTTTATGGACTAATTTACTTTCAACTTACTGTCACCTCATGGTAAATTTTCTGATATACTCTAGCAAACCCATATATTACAGACAATAAAGTAAATTCTTTACAACATTTGCAACATAGGTCCCTTAGTGCCATGTTCGTAGAGCCAGAAAACTTCCTCTTTTGGTGCTCACAAAGCCTGGTACCTTAAAGACCAAAGACAGTAAGTCTCTATTCTTCTTCTTCTTCTTCCTTTTTTTTTTCCGAATGCGATGCATCTTTTATCCACATTTCCTTTTTTTTTTTGCATTAAATTATATATTTAGATCATTGAAAAGAAAGAAAATTATATTTAATTGGTCAAATAAATAAAGCCAAATATAAGTTGCAATGAAAGGAATGCCTAAAGCGTAAATAAACCGTATAGTTTCCTATTTAGACCCTAGTCATGTTTTGTGTCAGTTTTATGTATTCAACGAACATGGGGGAAAATTAGATAATAGCAAACTGCAGTGTACAAASAACGATTACAACAATTTTCAACCCGGTCATATATTAGATGGTACATGAAATTGCTTCACAGTAAAATGTGCTGCTTTAAGTATTTAAACCAAGACACTAAGGTCTTTTCTCTCTTTTGGAATTTTGCTGCCAATAATCAATGTTAAAGCCAATGTTGTATTTTACCAGTGTTGGTTTTGAAACGTGCCTTCTAGAAGTTACATGCTGTGATGGAGTATGACAAATAAGGATAGATTAGTTTGTAATAGAGCTGTTTAAGATATTTTAAACAAAGATAATGTCCTAATTTTAAGAAAAGGCTAGCGTCTCTGGAACAAATGTATGCTATGCTGCGTTTCTACATTAAATTAATTCAATTAATGATATTTATTTTGGTCCTGCAGTCCTCGCAAGATTTTCCAAGAAAGGGGCTGAAGGATTATCTTTTGCTTTYCTGAAGAAAACAAACTCGTTGTTGTAAAATCACTAAACAGTAAGTGTCAATTCAGCACAAATAAATTGTTAATTACTACTATCAATAAATAATGGTAATTAAACTGAGTGGAGTGCAATTTGGTCTGAAATCAAACGCGCTATTACGAAATCGCACGACCGCGTAGCGGGAGTGCGATTTGTAATTGCAAGTTTGATTTCAGACCAAAATTGCACGACACTCAGTTTAATTACCACTTTATTATATCCATTTTGAAATCTTTTTTGAAAAAGACGTTTTTTCCAGTTAAACCGACATGACTTACAATCTACAAGCAGTCGATTCAAACATGCTGTCAAGAGAACTTGCTTATACTGATCGAGCAATGATTCTCATTTTGAAAACCAACACTTTCAATCCAAAACTAAAATTAATTTATACAGGACCAAAAGGCATTACATGTATTAAGAATCATTTACTTACGTTAAATAGCAAGACAATCCTGCCCAAAAGGATTGTAATAAACTGGCTGTTGTCCATACAGCCAATGCTCACTGCTTGTATTTTTACGATTTCTGTTCAACATGTTAAGATCACACTTGTGCCGAGAAAACATCAAAAATCCAAGGTTGTTTTAAAGTCTTTTTTACGACTTTTGACGGTAAAATTGTTCTTCAGAAAATTTTTTTTGAGCCGTGGCTCTTTTTTTTCGCAAGAAGCGGTGAGCTCAACACTCAGATGGATTCCTTGATATAATTGGCTATAAAATGACATGTCTCTCTTGTGATTGGTTCACATCAGTTGATGTGCAAAATCGTGCAATTTAGAGCTCAAAATCGTGCAATTTATGCTGAAATCACTGCTGCAGGGAACCAATCAGATTGCAGGATTTGCTTGTGATTTCAAAATGGATGTAATAAAACATGTTATCAAATTATTAAATGAATTAATTTAAAAACGTATTGGGGTAATGTTTTAACCTTTTAATTCACATTTTCATATATGTTGTATTATATTTATTTTTTATCATAAAGACTACAACACAGAGCAACACAACACTGGTTTGGAATATGCAAAGGAGATTCTGGAAACATACAGAGTGAACCAGTTGTTGAGGTGAGACAAATGATTCTGCTACTATCTACTATGTGAGTCTTGTATTTTAAGTTGAAAAAATCTTAGATATATGCCTGCTTTATAACAAATGGACTATCAGTGCTGTAAATGCTGTACAGCAGTTCTAATAAAACTGTTATTTTTTCTAGTCATTCTAGTTGTGTCATATCAAACATGATTTGGTATGCTCAAAATATTAACTAATATAACATTATGTCCTATACCTTCTCTTCTTAGGTTGAAATACACAAATACACTATCAAGTGTACATCAC